TTCACATTATATGATCCACCATTACAAAGATAGAATTTAGGCTATGATGGTGGTTCATATGGGATCCACCATAGAACCTTTTAAAAAGGCTTAAGGTAGTTATTATGGTGGAATCCACCTCTAGAGACTTCTAGAAGGACAATTATCTTGGTAGGACCTACCATTAAAGATATTCTAGAAAGTTCCAAGGATAGTTGAACAAAGTATAAATAAAATTAGTTGGGCATTTGATCAGATATGGCTTTAGATTCTTTCTTTTAGTAAAGTTTGGTTGTTTTTTTCTTGTTCTATTATGTTTGGCTCTATTTGGTTCTATTCTCTTTTACATGGTCCTATCTTTCATGCTCCATTCCATTTAGTTATTTTTAATTTTGTTCTAATGTGTTTAGTCTTAGGTTGTGTCAAGATCTTTGTTGTTATGAAATTGGTAAGGTTTTAGACCTTAAAAAAACTAGTCTTGTTTCAAAACAAGTGCTTTGATTTCTTTCATTGTTTGAAAATATTTAATATTTATCAAAATAACTTATAATTATTTTTATTACATCTAAATTTTTATGTGGTTAGAAAGTTATATTGTACTTAAGTTTTGTATAATCATGGTTAATTATTTGGAATATATTAATGTCTTTAATCATATAAAAGTTATTTTCATATTCAAATTTATCCCAATTATCATAATAAATATTTTTAACACTAAAAATAAGAAAATTTGATAACGTGCTTGAATAAACTTCAACAAAAAAAGTAGTTTTAACTATAATTATTGGCTTAATCTTCAATATTGAGATTCTTATTTGAATAATAGGTAATATTAAAATATCTATTATTGATGTGTAAAATTTATTAATTAAAAAAAATAATTTTTAAACATTGATTTTTATTTTCTTTTAATTATAATAATATTATTAATAATATTAAATAATATTTATTAAATATTATAAGATCTAAAAATAATTATTCTTTTATCTTAAAAAATCGACGGTTGAAGGAGATCAATATTATACATAATTAAAAACAAGAAAAATTAAAGAGTGGTATCTACTTAAGTTAGATTCAAATATGAGTTATCTAGGACATAGTACAAGTATAAAATATATATATATATATATATATATATATATTCCAAAGATTTATATTGTGATTATTAAATCATCTATATTAATAAAAAAAAAATCAATGTTACAATATTAAATTGTCATTAAAAATTAAAAATATAAGATAATTTAGATAAAAATAAAAGTAAATATGTTTGATAATATCTTGTGAAGAAGCTTCTTAGAAGCTTAGTAGACGTGGATTTGATTTTACAAGTATTTGTAGGTGATTGATAAATAAAAAACTTAGCCAACAAAATGACCATGTGTCGCACATGTTGACCATTTATTTTACGAGTTAGCCACATATTGCTTATATTCACCACTTGTAATATAAGTTGGTTATATATTATACATGTGTGAAACTTGCCCTGTAAGATAGACATATATTCTATAAGTTGAATATGTTGTTGTGTTATGTAAAAAATAGCCTAGGAATGTACTAGGTATTTTGTTATAGAAGGATATATTCTTATCTTAAAGTTGAATTTATAAAATAAAAAATAATATATATATATATATATATATATATATATATATATATAATTTAAAAACAACTTGGAAATCTTAAACAACCTAAAAAAAACTAATTACACTATATTCAACTTCAAATAAACCTTGAAAAATCTTTAAAAAAAATCATGATTAATTTTTTTTTATAAAAGAAAACTTAAGGAAAAAAAGAAAAAGAAAATCACAAAAGTTCTAAAAATATATATATAAGAAATACTAAAAAAAGTATAAAAATATTAAATAAATCTTTAAGAAATTCTTAAGAAATCACAAGAAATCTTAAAGAAAGTATAATAAAATTCTAATTAAATCCTAATTACACTCTAATTAAATCCTTATAGAATCTTAATTAATTTATAATTAAAATTTAATATAATCCTAAGAAATTTATAATTTTTTAAATAAAATTTAAATAAATTCTAAAAAACCTCAATCAAAATTTAAGTAAACACTACAACAAGTTTCTAATCTCAATAACTGTTATATTAATTATTGACCTTAATTTAAACATTCTTTATAAATTTAATTTACTGGTTGAAAATAAGCATACAAAGTGTAAAGAGGATCTAATATAGAAATTGGAAGAGAATGCTTCTAATGCACTTTGGTATTGGCCATTCTTCTTTTTCAATCTCAAAACAAAATTTCTAGCTTTAAAATCTTAGAAACCATTATTGACCTTCAAAACCCAATTTTTATGATCCTTGCTGACTTGAATCTCACTTATGTTTGATCTCACTTTCAAATAGAGCTCAAATTTATAATTTATATTTAATACAATTATTGTTACAATCCCACAAAATTGCATCCAAATATTTCTATTATAAAAATCACCAAAATTTAATCTTTTTTTTAGTCCACAAAAAGAAAGTTGCCCAAAGCTTTGTAAAGCTTTTACAAAGTCAATATGCATTTAAATTCTACAAAACCAAGACTTACAAAAAAAACCTTTCAAGTTCCTTCTAAAAATGTACACTCTATTTAATAAAAGAATGTTCAATTGCTATAAGTACATTGTTTTGTATTTTTTAGCTTATGAACAAAAAGTAATAGCCTTCCAAAATATAATGACTAAACTATATTGATAACATACCATTCTTCATTAAAGTAGTGTTTTTTCTTTTTTATTTTCGTTTTTAATTTTGAAAATTTTAGATTTTTAGGTTTACAAAATCAAAACAATTTTTTTTTATCTTTATATAAAATTTTAAGAATTTATTTTAGAAACTAAAAAAAAATACTAACAAAGGCCAAAATTGTTGTTTAAACTTAAGGTTAATTAGGGATAGCTTTTTCCATTAACAAAAAAGAAAAAGATTTGACTAATTGAGTCTATAAGACCTCTTAGAATATTATCTTGAAACTTGTAGGTGGCAGCTACATCTTCATCCTTGAATATCAAGGAATTCAAATTTAGATTCACAGCACTAATTGATTCAAGAGTCAAAACCTAAGATCAATGTTGATGGCTATCAAATGAGCTTAAGAAATGTTTTTTTGGCCAAATTAACTTCATTATTTTCTTTAAAATACTTCTTACAAAGATTGACTACTCATATATCTTAATCCATGAGAATTTGTAATACTTATAAAGAATAAAAGTATGGCACTATTGAACTGAAATTAAATTACTTCTAAATTGCTCCTAATAACTTCTAATTTACTTATGACATCAATTTTATCATAGTCATATTAAAGAAATGCAATGATTAAGAAAAAATAATAAAAAAATATGTGTTGATACTAAAATATTGAATAATCTATTAATTGTAGTTACATAGGGATTAAAATAAAACACCCTATTTCTTTTAGCTTTATAGATCAATTAAATATGTTAAATTTACACAATCAATTTTTTAAAACTAGCCTGTTAAAGCACGTCATATACTAGACTTATTTTGATTACTATATATAATCTTAATTTTTATTTAATTTTAAAATTTTATTGAAATTTATAGCTGATTTTATTTTATTTTATATTTCATTATTATTGATAAGTAAAAAAAAAAATGATAATAATAAAAAAAATTATATATTAAAAAATAGTAAAATATTATTAATTACTATTGAATAAATTATTCATAAACTAAATTCTTAAAGAAATTAATTGAATGTTTATTTTATAATTTTTTAATGCAATATTTTAAATAATTTTATAAGATTCAAAATTAATATTTAGAAATTTAAAAATTATCAATTAGAAGAATATATCTCTCTCTCTCTCTCTCTCTCTCTCTCTCTATATATATATATATATAGATATAGTTTGATTCTTATACAAATTAGTATTATTATAAGAATCAAAATTTCTACATATTAAAGTGGAAAATACATATTATTTTTTTTAAATGCCTTCTTTAATCATTGCGGATTGTTTTTTTATTTTTATGTAAGTGCTAGATATTCGTAATTGCTTACACGAGTTTAAACTGGTTTCTTTGGAAGGAGAATAATTAGTTTAGAACTAATCCATTTAGATCATTACATAGAATAATCTATAAGAATTATTATTATTCTCTTTTGGAAGTAGAAAGAATTAGACATAAAACTTATTTTTGTTAAAAGAAAATTTAAAATATTTGAGACAAAAGACTTTTTACTATTTTATTTTGTTTTATTTTATTATTTCTTATTTGTGTTTTACTCAATAACTAAAAATTCTATGAAAAGTATTGAGTGTCCTATTTTAATTTTGTAGTCTTTTCATCTATGAATTTATTATGAATTTTCTCATTATTATAGTAATACTTTAATATAAAATGAGAAAATTCCTATATAAGGTTGTTCTAAAATCAAACACATTATTATTATTATTATTATTATTATTTTAATTCTAGTAGATTATTGTTTATTGCAGACATAGATTTTTAAAAAAATTTACTAAACTGTTAAAGAGAATGAAAATAATATTTTTAGAAATTTTTTACTGTTTACTAAAAAATGATATGTTCTATATAAATTAAGTAGAGATATTTTTAATTTTGTATGCAATGAAATCTAAATACAATTACGCTAAACCCCATGCAAATAATCTGTTTCAATTTTTCATCCTATCAAAAAATATTAAGAAAAATCTAATGTATAAATTAAAAATTATATATATATATATATATATATATATATATATATGGTAATACTGGCTTTTATTTGATCTCTTCAATAAAAATTCAGAAACCATTTTTTTTTTTTCTTTACATTTTCTGTAAGAACACAATAATGAATTTCTAGGTGTCTTTTATGATCTTATTATTGAAAAATAATCTCTGTTCACTAGACGCTTAATCGTTTTTGTTATTTTCAAACTTTTAAAACGCCATTAACTTTTACAAAGCTAATTTTGTATCACACTGATCTCACATTCATGTAATATTCTTAGTACAGTACAATCCAACAGATCAATAATGTCATCATTTAAATTTCAAATAAAATGAATTGAAGGTTTTATAGCGTGAAATTTGTGAAGGAATTCTTGAATGAATACTAAAGAATTTACTTTCAAATCATACACAGTTCTCCATTTGTTTTCACTATTTGCATACCACAATGTAAAGTGGGTTTTATCATTAGCCTTCTTCAGGTTGTGAATTGAACATTTGTAATTCAAACAAACAAAACACTACTCTGTTTACAAATTTCAAGGTTTTAACTATGTTGAGAAAAAAATTAACTTGACTAAAGATACTTCTGTACATTCAAACTTCTACATACATACCAACACATATGCATTGTGGAGATTTATTTTTCATTTTAATTTTCCTTGATTATATCAATTTGATGAAACTTTGCTTTTCAAAAAGCAAGGCCTGTGAATAATCCTACTCCTCTATTTATCCATTTTGCTTGTGGTTGATTGGATGGCAATTCCATGAACATTACAAAATTAGTGGAATGCCCAGTCGTTGATAATGTTCCTGTAATAAATTAAAAAGTTATTTGTATGTATAATTGCTAGATGTATTATCAATGTTACTAAAATGTTTCATGTTTTATATATATATATATATATATATATATATATTTAATTTTGTAAGTTTGAGATTATTATTTTTCTTATAATTTTGCAAGAATTAAATTGTCATCCAAAAATATTATTAAATCACACTATTAATTCTAACTTTTTCAAAAATGTACATGCCACATTATCTTTCTAGCTAGTCAATTTCAAAAAACAGTATACTATATCTAAATTTATTACTTGTGCAAGCACACATGCCCACACACACTTACACATGTATGTATATATGTATGTATGTATGTATATGTGATATTAACATACATTGCATTACATTGTGCAAGAGTATGTACCTGCTCTGAGAAGAGTCTTGTACACGGGGCAATTGTAGAAGCCATGTTTTGGCGGTTTTCGATATTGTTTTGGATTGAGCCACATGATGGGCAAGTCTGTGTAAAGCTCTTTGGGTCGAGAATCAACCAACATGTGGGTGACGTAATCCCAGCGGCATCCTTCGAGCGAGAGGCCCCGAATGTAGCAACCATCAACAGGAGGTGCCTTGATAATATCCCCTGTAAGATGGTCTGATTGCACAAAATCAAATTGGACGGTGTCAATTGGCATCTTTTTCTTCCGTGCATAATTTTGAAGTGTGCCTGTAAGAAAAGCCTACATTCAAAGGCCAACATCACAAAACAATGAGGTGATTATTTTTGTGTCAACTAATTCTGAGTTCTGGTTAATTTTAAATGCTTGATTAGACCCAATATATCTATATCTATATATATATATATATATATGTATATATGTGCAGAATACAAATGGTTAATATTAGTATCTTTACCTGAGGGAAGAAAAACCCAGATATCCAATAAACTGAAGGAGCTCCTTTGCTAATCCATGTGTTGATAAATGCACATCGTTCTAGTAAATCTTTGATCCATGAGGCCAATGGTTTTAATGAAGGATAAGCCTTACCTTGCCAGATCTCTGGAACCTATTAGTTTGCTTTTCTGAAGTTAGTCATGTTTTATGATCAAATCTCTAGTAACAGCATTGCATGATTGTATCAAAATGAAGAAAATTATCATTTAATAAATTATATAGATATTTTATTATTATTTATGCCAAGTAAATAAGCTTCTTAAAATCATGTATAAATAAGTGCACTTCAAAATGAAAATGATGATAATAATAATAATAGTATTTGATGGACACATGATGTAGCAACTCAAGCTCAATAATCACACCTTTCAGAGATAAAATTACCTGATTATTGAATATACTAGTTTTCAACATCTCCAAATCATTGGAGATGACAACTAGACCCTTAAGAGCTTTCAATAATTGTTGAAGAGAAATCCTCATTATGCTTAGAAGACCATTGTATCTAATACATTCTTGTGTAAGCACTGTGTTCATGCTTTCTTCATACTTAGTTGGGTATTCTTGTAACACATGTACCATATCAAAAACATTAGGGCACGAGGCTTGAATTTCCAAACATGAGGCCTCAATGATATTGTCTTGTGACATCCCTTTTCCCTGGACTTGCTCTCGAGGTTGCAATGACAATAGAGTCCCAAACAAATCGTAGGACTCGTTTTGATCACATGTGATGTCTGCATTCTCGTGGAGGCCAAAGATCTCCGGTTTTGGTGCCAAGGGTAACTCTCTGATGTAATTCAAGTACCCACTTACAGTTGCGACATCTTTCGGGACTCTGAATATGCCCGAGTTGCTAAATTTGTACCCCTCACTTTCAACAACCTACAGATCAACAAAAAAATGAGCACTTCTTTTTAGGTACAAGCATTCAGTTGATTGACATGTGTATGTATATATGTGAAAAGAAAAGAAAAATGTTTTGGATTATCAAAAATTATATCAAACAAGATTAAAAATGATTATTATAAACCAAAAAGTAAACAAAAAAAGAAAATTGTAAACCAGTTACCAGAGGGGTAATAAAAGTTAAGAGGAGTGTGTTTATACACCGACGGTCTTTGTCATCTGTGACTCGACCACCATAGTTAATTTCTCCACATAAAAATCTTATAACCTGCCAAGTGTATCAGCATTTAAATATCATTATTATTATTATTATTATTATTGTGTGAATGTGTTTCTTGTGAAAATTTATTTGAAAAAAAAAAAAAAAAAAAAAACCTTAAAACATAAAACATAAAAAAACATTAAAAAATTATAATATATATGTTATTTTATACTAAGAAGTTTTGATTTTTTTGATTTTTTGTTTTTTTGATTCTGTACACTACCTTGTAGGGAATGTCAACATATTTGTTAAGGAACATATTCACTTGAACTTGGCAAACACTTAAATCACCATCGGTGAAGTCATAGCAGATGTTCCATCCTAAAGGGCCAAACTTGCGACGCTCTTGAATGACCGCATGGAAGAGGCAAGTTGCAAAGAGGAGCCGCCTCCATGCCTCGGGCTTTTCACATTCGTTCAAGTGCTTGTCTGAGAAGCGCAAATAGGCACGGACAAGGTTGGCTCGTAATCCTTTTGGAGGCTCTAATGTCATTTTTACTCCATTCTGAAGGATGGCAACTGGAAAATCTGGACTCGGCATACTTGTTAACCAAAGGCGAAAATCTTTGTGTACCTACATTTTTAAAAGGAATTTTACAAAAAAATTGAGAAGCTCTTGTGAGATAGAAAATGGAAATAAAATATAGAACATGTTATATATTTGAATTTGTAAGCAAAGCCATATTTATATATTCATCTTGTGTGTGTGTATATATATATATATATATAAACCTTTTCTGGATTGATGTTATCCACAATACGATCCAAAGCGGGCATCCATGATTGAGAGAGATGACAATTCTGCAAACAAACCCACATTCCATGGTCCATGCCCATTTGTAACAACTTTTCAGCCTTGCGTCCTTGGCCTTGACCCAATGAAACCTGTCATCACCATAAAGAAAAATAATTAAACAGATAAATAACTGAAAGCATGAAATAATAAAAATAAAAATAAATCAAAGTAATGTGAGTATTTAAAAATGCACTTAAAAAAAATAAAATAAATAAAATGAAAAGATCTTAAATATTCTCAAGCAATGATGTATCTTATAGTGAAACAATATTGAATTTTTCAGGTTTCTTTTAGTATTTCAATTTTTTATATTGTAAGACCAACTTTCTCAAATTTTTTGGTGTATTTGTAAGTGTCTGCAAGTCTTAGTAAATCAGCCATGGGATCTGCTCCTGAGGATAATACAAATATAAGAGGAGTTGCAGGCCCTCCGTCTTTATAACATGCATCCAAATCAAAGGCTGGAGGCTCAGTAAAATGTTGGCCAATTTTATCCGAGACAAAATCCTGAAAATTTGCATATCATATTTTGATTCTCTAAATAATAGATGTGTAATTAATAAACTTTTGTGAAATATTCTAATAGTTCATATATATATATATATATATATATACCCTCCCATTCACTCCTTAATCTCATTCCATGTAAATTGTTTGAAAATTTACATATTGATTTGTATTATTTTGAAATAAGCAAAAATTGAAATGTGTGTGTGTTGTGTATGACAATGACATACAGCAATAGCAAGGAGGGCCTTATCAACACGAAGGCATCGTAAGAACAGCATCTTCTGAAATGAGGACAATTTAGTGTTCCATTTTCCAGCAAGTGGGTCTCGATGAGGGTCACTAGAATCAAATATCTTCTTATAATGTGCCAGGTTTTGTGACACATGTTGGCCCACTCCTTTAAAAGCTGGCAGTTTACCCAGATTCAAAAACTCCATCCACACCTATTTTGCAAATCAACAATAACTAAATCAATATCCATACATACTTTTCAGAACATACATACATACATACATATATATATATATATATACATACATACCCACACACACACACATTGAGAAGTGTAGAAAAGGAGGATATATATATATATATATATATACATGCAGTGAAATTCAAACTATGAAACAAACCTTTTCATTGATCCAACTTGGATCAGGGTTAGGATCAGTAAAAGCAGTTGATGTCCCGCCTTGTAAAAGAAAACGCCACTCTTGCCCATCTATTAACTTGTCTCCCTATCAAACACATGGGCTACAAATATATTCATGATATTTTTCAAATGAAGAGTGATGTTTTCAGTAACAACTTCACGAAAATCACATGGAATGATTTATGCATTTGAACAGCACAAATAATTTCAAAATACTGTATCTATACATTTATATATATATATATATATATATATATAAGTAGTACCTGGAGAATTTTTATGCAAAGTATAAGAGAGAACATTAATTTGTGTTTTTCAAATAAGGACCGGCACACATTGATATACAAAGAATATGTAAAATAATTGTTGATGTTTACTATACGCTGGTGTAATTGCTCCGCTGGTTCAGCACTTTTCATTGCACGGACAAATAATTGGATGAACCACGGCAAACTATATTGGTACATTGGATCTACAGAAGCCAAATCAGATATGCAAAAATAAAGAAGAGAAGCCCTCTTGGCTACGGGCCGGTAAACCTAACACCACCAAATGAACTAATATTAAATATATTTATATTTATAGTATTGCATATTAGTACATTGATTGAAAGGAGAAAAAAAGAGATTGACAAACAAGTAAATAAATAGATGTTGGATATGATTTGATATAGTTTAACAAGCATGATGCAATAGATATCCATAAAATTTTGGATTAGAATTGAAAATTTTACATTTATCTTGGTTTCAGGGTTGGAAACATGCCAACCTCACGAGTTTCATCAATTGACAATTCTGTTGTTTCAGCTTCAGCAACTTTGATCTTAATGTCATCAGAGGTGACCTTAGATTCAGCCAATGTATTGATTAAATCCACATCATCCAAAATGTTGCCCTGCACAATTCATGTGAATGAATCCAACATGATGTAATTGATATTCATTTTTTTAAATTCCAAAGTAATGGTTATTATGATCAAACATTATTATTATTTTATTAATGCTGTGGAGCATAAATATTCTTTAAATCAATCAATTCCTCTAAAAGTAAAACATATATATATATATATATACACAAAAATGAAAACTACACCTTAGAATTTGATAAAGAGTACAGAATTTGAGATTCAAGGTTCTTCAATTGTGCACGCATGTTTGCATTTGAAACTGTGAGTTGGACTTTCAACTCAGCAAGGTCTGGCCTCTCAGTGGCAACCACATTGCCTAGCAATTGATCTTCTAATCCTTCGGGGGTTACAAAAAAGTTGAGAAGGGTTACTTTCACACAAACCTGTTGAACCAAATAATTTATTCCCTTTTGAGTAAATCAAAACATTCATGTAACTGTGCAATGTTAACTCTTATCATAGAAAATTATGATACCAAATAAAATTTAGAAATATATGTAAAAGTAAATTAGACACCTCGGGTGGATAGTGTGGATTTGGAAGTTTGGTTGTCAAATAGAATCTAAAGTCTTTATGATAAGGAATGATATTGTCTCCAATTTTAATGACTTCTTGTCCGCCTTGTTTGAAGGTTTGTTGTAAGAGCAAAGGCTCAAGTGCAGGATCCAAAACCTCCAATATATTTTCAAGTAAAATGATCCTTCCAAATCTCACTCCATTCTCCAAAGTTCTTAGGTAGTCACTTTCTGATAATTTTATAACATCACAACCCACATATTTGAACATGTTTTTTATCCACTTGTTGGCTTGTCCCTGTGATTTCATATTAACATTGTGTAGTAAAGTATATGCAATTTTTGTAAATTTGGTTAGATTATTTTATAGTTATATTTATATTTAAAAAATTCTTCCAATCAAATTCATGTTGCATGTTCGAAACTTAATTAATGCATTTAAAATTATATATATATATATATATATATATATATATATATATATTGGTGTGCTTGGTAATATTACCTATATTACCTCTAAATGAAAAAAATTGTGGACACTAAATTATATTTAAAAATACTAATGATAAGAATTATGTCAAATGAAGGTAACCTGAGGATCAATCATAAGAGGCCATCTTCTGGCTTTTGACACAATGATGCCATTGTCTTCACTTAATGAGTCACTTGGTAAGCCTGCAATATTCCAAGCTCGCATTTGAACTGGATCTTTCAAACACGATTGAAGGGTTGTATTTGGAGAATGCGGGACCTATATTTGAAAAAATATGTAAAAAAATTAATTAAATTAAAATTTAAATTTAAAAGCAATGAATGAAAGAATAGCCAAGTAAAAGAAACAAAAATATACTTGAATAACTCTTAGAAAATATTAATACCTTGAGCTCGATTAGCTTGTGTAGCCATTCATTGTTGAGAGTAGTTCTATACAAAGGAGTGAATGGGCCCGTATATGCTATGTGTCCTCCAGCTATGATAATATCACCAATCACAAAGCCCATGTCTACTTCAATGCTAGCAATATTGGCAATCCACCGCATCCTCTCTCCACCGAGACCACCAATGAGCTTCCCGGCACGATCCAATTTTTGTTCACAATCTAACGCTTGTTGCACAAGTGATTCTTTCCTATCAATGGCTACAGCCAATTCTTCCTCAAGTCTTGCTAGTTTGGCTTCTACCTACACAAATGTAAACCAAGACGTTCAATTAAAATTAAATGAATTGAGAACATATAAAACTATTTGGTATATAAAGAGCTAATAACTGAAAAAAATTGCAATTATACTTGTACACACACACACACACATATATATATATATATACATATGCTACAATGTGAAGAGAAAAAATAAATACCTCGGATAGTTTTTGGCGGGCACCATTCAACTCAACCATGACTTCAGCCAATTTGGCTGATGCTTCTGCAAGTTGAGCACGTTTGGGGGCCACAATTTTACAAACAAGATAATATGAATGCATTGCATGCACCCACATGCAAATAGAAGTGCATGCCTTTGAAACTTTGGCTACCTACACATACATGGAAAATTATCATTAGTAGTTTTATCCACATACTCATTGAATTTATTGTTATTACTATTATTTACTTCTACATAAATACTTGAAGCTTTTTTATAAAATAACATTCCAAAATGTTTTTCAAAAAAAAAAGAAAGAAGTTCAACAAGTATTTATTTATATGTTGTTCAATTGCCTAATTAAACCATAATTTTTAATCATATAAAATTTGTTGGTGCATGTATTTATGTATGAAAAAACTAAGTTGGTGAATAGAATAGAATAGTCATAGAATAATTATAGAATAGTTTTTTTTGAGAATGAAGGGGAAACCTGTGCAGGGGTGAATGCTTCCATTTGGATGAAGGGTTCAATTTTCTCAATAACACTATCTGGTATGTTCTCTTTATCAAAGTTCAGCAGAGAATCCAAAAAAGCAGTTGGATCAACCAGAATTTTTGTACTAGCATCCCAATAATCAGCAATTTTCTTACCCATCTGATATCAATCAGTTCATCTCATGATTCAAAAATTAAAACCACTGTACTCAATTTCACAAGTTTACTCCAAAATTAAATCCAAGAAGGAAAAAAAATAATAAAAAAATATATGCTAATTTCAATACATGAGAAAACTGAATAGAGTTGGATAAATAAACTTAATGTGAACCTTGTTGGGGTCATTGATCATCTTTGGTGCTAAGTTAAACATAATGCATGTAGCTTCCATCACCATTTTCACTCCTTGAGGCGGGTTTCTAAGAGATTTAACTTCTACAATATCGTTCCGTGTGAGGTCTTTGAGAGATGAGAGTGCGGCATCGAGGGCTGGAAGTGCCACATCAAGCTCGGCTTGTGCACTATCTGCAATGCCTTTTGAAGTGGCTGCCATTCTTTTGGCTGCAGCTTCTTGTATCTCCACCTATTTATTTATTTATTTATTTATTTATTTATTGAGCAGTTGCTAATGCTACCAAAACTACGTTATTCACTATAAAAATCCATAATAACAGACTGTTTTAATAAATGAAAACAATCAAATTAATGTTCTTGAATTCCATTTGATTGTCAGATTGTCTTGGTTTGAGTTTGATAAACTTATTGTTGATGTGTCATGTGAAATGTGTGTACTTAACATATTAAGTGTTTATATTGCAGAATTTAATATTCAAATTATGTTTTGTCTTGATTAACATAGTTACATATATACATAAATGTAGAGTTGGTAGTTAATGTGCATTTTGGAATGGACAAGAAAGAATTACTTGATCTTTTGTGAGAGCTGCATTGGCTTTGTCAATGGATATAGATTGTACCATGATGTCAACTTCCTTTGTTGTTTTTACCAAAATGGGTTGCAAATTAACAAGCTCTTCTTTCATGACCGCAACCTCGTTTGCAGTGTTCAGCAGTTTTTCCAATCCAACAGACAATCTTCCTCTCAACCCTTCAAGATCACTGCGCTTCTCTTGTAGCAACTTGGTAAAACTCATCAAAAGTTCTAAATAACTTGTTGGCGTCACATAATTAAACCGCTGAAGTTCTTCGTAAAAGTCTCTCGATTTCCTTTCAACAGATTGGTGAATAAACACACACATGCCTACAATATTCTTAATCTGAAACATCTCACATGTTTCAAAATTGGTTGAGTTAATTCTCACAATAAAAAGTTTAAAAATTAGTTTCAGTATTGGTACCTTTAAAATATTCAGTTATTAATGTATTTTTGTTTTTGTTTTTGTTTTTTCACCTCATTGTCTGTTAGCATTTCAATTGTAGCAAGGAAGTTCTGAGCAACAGAGTGTAAAGCTTCTTCTGGCCATTCACTAAACCAATCAATAGTGCAACAATTCACAAGTGATGGAAACATCCGCAGTCTTGTGCGGAAAATGTCTCCAATGGGACTCATTGCAATGCACACATGGAGGTTGGCACGAATTCTGCTTAAAAATTCTGTTGCCATTGCTATGTTTGTGATTTGCATGCCTTTATTCAGAAGTATAGGTCTCATGGCATTTGCTATTATATCTTGGTCTTCATTTTTCCACAAGTTGGGTACCTGAGAAGGTTATTGCAGTTTTTTAAATCAGAAAACAAAGAAAGAAAGAAAATGGGAAATGAAGATATCTTCAATATATATATATATCATTGACATGATACAAGCAAGTGACATTTTGAGACTTTTTGTTAATTAATATATATATATATATATATTTTTGGATTGATACCAATGTAACATTTTATTGATTCATCATAAAGAATTAATCCAAAAAAAAAACCATCCAAACAGTTTAAAAGTTTTTTTTTTTTTTTTTTTTTTTTTTGGATAATTTGATTATACATACATTTTTTTTTAATTATCAAGCCTTGTGTGTATTGCTACTGTGTCCCCCCCCTTTTTGTTTGCCCCCCTTTCTTCAACATCACAATAAAGGTTCATTTCATATTGTAAAGCAGCAAGATATCAAAATTAAAACATTTTTTAAGAAAAATAGCATACTTCTCCTGCATTCAAAATATTGTTGATGTCTTCTAAAGAGGATTCATGAATTATTTGGGTGTCTGAGAATAAGAATGCAACTGATTTGTCATGAAGACCTGCTTTCATTAAAACTTTTTTTAAATCTTCCTTCCATTCGTTATTACCATAGCCTTTAGCAATCTCAATCTAAGAAAAAGATAAAGAAAAAGAAAAAACACACACACACATAATATTGATTGTCAGTTTTTATTTCTAGATCAACATAGAAAACCGAAATCTAATTTGTATTAAGAAAATACTTATATGTGGTGTAATCTATCACACTCTTCATGTAGTTTGTATGAAGAATTAAAATATGACAAAATGGATGGTTTTTTTAAATTCTAAAAGGTAATGACCTGAAAAAGCTCAAACTCTTCTATAAATGCCGCCAATCGTGTCAAACTTTGTCTTCCGCTACCACCAATTCCCAATAATAAAGCATTTCCAAGTGGCAATCTAATAACTCGACAAATTCGTGAAATGTGTTCTATTGCATCTAAAAACAAGACAAGTTTCATGGGTGCATTGCTCACAGTGTTATACTCCTCTAAATAAAGTTCTGCAACTTTTTGGAGGGATGAAATGTCATCAACCTAAATATCAATAAAAGTTATCATTAAAAAATAAAATTAAATAAAAACTAAACTAAAAAATTCATTAAAACCCCATTATTTTAAAATATTATACTATAGTTTGATGTATATGCTATATAAATTATTTTATATGTTTTATGATCATATCTAATACTTACTTGTAGAGAAATTACAACTATTTTATATGTTTATGAAGAATTAGATGTGAAATGCAGCAGGTAAATTTAAACCTTCTCATAAATACGTGGTTCTGCTCCAGGAGTCAGAAAATCACAAAAGATTAAGTGCTTTGATTTTGTAAACATGAAATCCCAACTCAAATCAAATCTAACTTGAAGTTGTTTTGATATGTTATTCTTAAACCAAGTTTGATCTTCCATGTTCACCAATCGATCCTGCACACATTTGAAAACATCATGCTTAAAAAAAAAACTTGATTAGAGTTTGTGCAATCACTTAGTTGAACTAAATCTTGAAACTTCAATATGAAAAATGATGAATTTCTTAATTTATTTGGTTTAAAATATCAAAACCAAGCACTCTTCGTAGGTTTCATTTAAAAAGTTTCAGTGAGAGATTTTTTAACATTATTTGTTTTATTCATTACAAGTTTTAGTTATATTTTATCAAGAATAAGATCATTTTAAAACAACTGGTAGTATCCAGGACAATCTGTTTCAATGGAAGAAAAAAAAAAAAAAAAAAAAAAAAAACTTAACTATCATAACATCACACTCCAAGGATTAATTAAATGTACTAGTCTTATTAAACCCATGATTTGATAATTGATAGTTTAAAATATATTGAAGCAATAAATAAATAAATAAATAAATCAATAAACAAGCACTTTTTTAGTACCGCAAAGACTCTCATGGCTTCATGCACCCAAAGGCATATAAACACCCTCTTTTCTTTACACTGTGCAGGATCTGCTTGTAAGACTCCTTGAATGACTTTACCAAGATCACGTAAATTAAATGTATAATGTGACTTTGAGGGAGTGGGAAGAAGATCTTGTCGGATTGCATTGTAGAGTTCTATTGTTCCATTCACAATCCCATCACTACAAGCTTGAATTTCTAGGTCAAATGAAACACTCAAGGTGGCATTTAAAATGGTCGAGAAAATGAGGTAGAGGCTCTCATTAGCCATCTCCGTGAATGACAAGAAATTGAAGTGTCGTAAGAAGCGCATGGTGACCGGATTGCGGCCTCCTCCTGGAGGTCCCATGCACCCCACAAATTGGATATCAACCAAGGTGCGAAAGGCACATGGTGGGATGCGGTCATACCATCCCTCGTGATCCATCCATTGACGAAGGATCTCTATTGGCGGTTGTGCAAAATACTTCTCTCTTTGTGGCATGTTCACATCGTCCACAAAGATCACATACTTTTTCAATGCAGGTGGTCCAAATACACCTTTTCTGCGTTTTTCTGTTTTGGAGTCAATCAAATCCTATACAAAAGTGCAAGAATTATTGAATTAAATTTTTCTTTTCTTTTTCACAAATCCATTTCACAATACATAAATATTAATAGTTCTAGAAGAAAATACAGGAATTTCACTTCCTTATGTTTAACTTCATGATGAATCTAAATCTCAACTCCCAACCAAACATCCATGGATTTTATGGATGTTGAAGACATGAAATTGTAGCAACAAGAGATGTACATACAAACATATATAAGCAAGCTTTGAACATCAAAACTTACTTGAGTTTGGTTTGCCCCGGTCCTTGCAGAAAAATTGATAAACATTGGGGCAAATTGTGGGTCTAAGTTCTTCAACAACTTGTCTCGGACTACCAAAGTCTTACCTGTTCCTGTCTGTCCCACGCACAATATGTGCTTATAAATCATGATTAAGTGATGAATTACATATTTGTACCCAATGGAATCGGTTGTAGGAACAATCATCTCCGCAAATGGTTGATGGGGATCACATTTATACATAGGAATAGTTTGAAACCATTCCTCCCACAAACAACTATCGGAATTGTAATTGACACCAAATAAATTAGTTTTTTTTGGGGGTGGAGATTCCAATTCCAGGTGAGATATGACATCCCACATGTACGCATCATACTTCACACGGCCATCATTGTTGCAGCTCGCACCCACACTCCATATAATAGAGAAGATGAACAAAGGTTCAATAATCTGGAACCCCCCTACCCAAATAAAACATCTTATCTGTAAATGTTTGTTGTGAGAAAGATTGTATAAAACTATGATTCCAATCAAGTTGTTTGGAGTTCATTACTTGCAAGAATACAAAATATTGCATCAAAATTGATTAATGAAACATTATAATTAGTCTTATCATTAATATTCCACACACACACATAAAATTCTAAGTATACATACATACATTCATACAAATACACTCTCTTTCTTTACATTAAAAACATAATCAAATAGATTAAAAAGTATAATATTGTCCAATTACTTGTTTAGCATGAAATTTGTTGTCGCTACTTAATTGAGATCCATCTAATGGAACAAAATTGACAAGTAGTGAATCCATGATGTTGAATGCGGACAAGACCATGTTGTCTTCTGTTGTGGCCACGGTTTGTTTCAAGTGCCTCTTTACATGGTGGATAGCAGGCTCACACGCTAATGCAAATAAGCGACGTACAGTGGCTTCTCCAACTTGTTGCAAGTCCTTTGTTAGTTTTTGGATATAGGAATCCAAAAGAGGTTGAAACCCACGGGCCTGAGGCTCCATGTAGACCATGCCACATCTACTCACAGTGGCTGGGGATGCCACAGCCAAGTCTTCAACCTCGAACATCATTGTCATGGTGTTTGACATTTGTATGATTTCTCCGCTCACTAAACAAAGCTTCTTGTTGTCGTCCAAGACCGTGTTCTGATATTTGTGTATAAGAAGATTAAAAGAAAGAGAGAACAAAAAATAATTGATATTTGGGGTAAGATATTCATTCAAGAATCAATATTTACCTACTATTCAAAGACAAGCACAAACGAATGAATGAGCATATGTTGAGTACCATGTTTTCAATCCAAATGGCATCTACAGGTCCATCAAACATCAACCACTTTTTAGATGGGGAAGTGTCTTCCACCAACTCCCTCATGTAACAAGCAAGAACTCCATCCGTCCATTCATGAGTATTCTCATCAAAGTTTCCATACAATTGTCCCATTGATATGGACTTTGGATTTAAACAAGCAATCCTAACCTATCCAAGGTAAAATAAAATAACTTAAACAAAAAAATAATAATCTAAAGTATGTATATATATATATATATATATGCGTGTGTATACACACACGCATACATAGTTTTTTTTTTTTTTTTTTTTTTTTTTTTGTTTGTTTGTTATTATTATAAAAGAATCATATGAAACATATATATATATATATATATATATATTGTGTCTAAACATGTATATTTGGAAGGGTTTAGGGTGAACAACCTTTTCATATTTTTGTTCACCATCACCATTGAGGAGCGACATTGCTCCGGCTAGAGTTCGGTAGTTGCTTGTTTTACCACCTCCAGTGGGACCAACAAGCATGAGCCCATGCCTCACCAAAGTAGTCTCATACAATTGAATGATCTGTTCAAACATCTCCAATCACATTATCACTTGCAAACCATTTTATGAGACAATATAATAATAATAATTATTATTATATTTATAATCATGTTGAAAATAGCAAAAGAAATAGATGGTATATCTTGGAAATGAATGTAAGAACAACCTTCTCTGTAAACGTTGGCACAAGTTGAAGATTGGATTTTAGACAACATTTTGCAAGGGCACCCAGAAGACTGTCATAGACAATGGTTGGGGGCACCACCCCAGGAAACAGGTCTGTGATAATGCCTGCAAATAAGGGCAAGTCTTGTATCAAGAACTTTGGAACATTGATGTCGCGAAGTCCGCAAAGGAGCAATACATCCTCGTTTTCGTCTGGGTATTCACGCTTCAAATTACCAGCGGCTGTAATGACACTTTTTACAGCTCTCATACCATAGTCATAATGATCCTACAATCTCACACCAACCTCAATATGTATATGTATGTTTGTATGTATGTGTATATTTTGTTTTTCATATTTTTATCAAACACTAGGATTTTAAAGTATATATATATATATATATATATAGATGTGTGTGTGTGTGTGCGCATGTGTGAAGCATGAGGTGTAATCAAACATGGATGAAAAAAATGGTGTAGAATGTTGATGGAATATTGTAGTTAAATGTTTTTTTAAACATGTATTAGAAGATGAGTATAAATTTTAGCTTTATTTATATATTTATTTAATTATTAATTGAGAAAATGAGTATGGTAATTTACAAATCTGAATATAGTTTTTTCAAAGGTATGACCTACCTGTGAGGAAAGTTGCTCTGAGCACAACTTGAAAGTTGTGACCATCTTGGCAGCCAATTTTTTAGCATTTTGAAACCCAAATGAAAACAAACTTATCTCACCAATGAGAGCATAATCTGGAACCATCATAGCACATGGTCTGAACAATGCTTTTAAGTTGTCTGGAAGTTCAGATCGTCCTGCATATCTGTTACCATTTTTTACTTTTATTTTTCTTGTGATCTAAACAATTACCAAAAATGCAGTAGTTGAAGGTTTGGTTTATGCTAGCAAATCAAATTAGATTTAACTTCATTCCAAATCAAACATTTATATTTATTATTTTGAACTAAAAATATGATACAGATAAGGTACCCAGGATTCATGGTGATATAAACAGAACAGGAGGGATCCAGTGAAATTTCAGTGTCTTCAAAAATAAACCGCTTCAATTTTTGTTGAATGGCAAGTTGGATGGTTAAGATTTGTTGGGCAATGACTGAGAGAACTTCGAGGTCAATGCGATTGAACTCATCAAAGCATGCCCACGCTCCACTACTTGCTAAGCCTTTGAAAAATTTACCCATGGCGAGGTAGTCAAGGCCATCCGAGCAATTGAATACGACACATTGTTTAGCCATTGCTTTGGCCAAGTCCTTTGTTGTCTCTGTCTTTCCCGTTCCAGCCGGTCCTGCAGGTGCACCACCGAGACTGAGGTGAAGGGCACCCATGAGAGTCATGTAACAACGATCTGTGAGAGGGGTGATCACAAGACGCGGGGTGTTGCCAAGATACTCATAACCATAGGAAAGTGAAGCTTGCACCATTTTCACCCACAAGCCATCATTCTCCCAATAGTATCGCAATTGACTAACCCACTCAAACTCCATTGCAGATTGTATCTACATTTTCAACACAAAACAGTACATAAACCAATCTTCAAGCTATCTTGAGGAAATTATATATGTATGTATGTATATATATATATATATATATATAAATGTGTATGTTTTTTTGTTTGAAAAATAAATCAATAATGGAATAAATGAGGTAGAAAATTGGAATGGTTTATATATATGTTTCAAAGTTCAAGAGTAATTTTAAAAAATAATTGAGCTAATATCCAATACATTTCAAAGTTTTATTTTGTACCTTATCATTAATTAGAAGTTGGACAACATCACGTGCATGAACATCTATCACAATAAGAGCTCTTAAAGTTAACCTTGCAAGAGTTGCAAGAGGTTTTTGAACAAGGTTGGTTAAATCAAATAATTGTGCAACCTACAAAACAATCAATTTTTTTTTGGATTAGTGTTATAAAATATTCTTGAAAACAAGTTAAGAAATAATTCTGAACCTCAAACATCTTTCTCAACCATATGCTTATGAGAAATATCTAAATGTAAGTAAGTGTATCATAGTTGAAGAAATATTGAATCATTATAAGAGTGAAATAAATTATTAGAAAGTCATAGAAATCAATAATTCTATCTTTTGTTAGTAAACACACTTCAAAACAAAAGTAGCATATCAAATGACATATTAGGATACTTCATTGTAGTGTACAAAACAAATACCTGCACATTGTCTAAAAATTGTTGCATGGTGTTGGTGTTGAGACCATGTTCTACTCCTTCAGTCCAATAAGTTGAACTTCCCGCGAGAACCATTTGACCCGGCCATTCTTGCACCCATGTAGTCCTTGGTTTGCTTTTGTATGCCACAAGTGAATTTTTACACTATGGAGTAAACAAAGAGACATTTTATGGACTTCGCTTCATTCTCAAAAAGGATATTGAAATATATATATATATATATATATATATATATATAAAGAGAGTATCTAACAAGGGTGCAATATGATCTTTGTGTGATATATTTACCTGCCAATGTATACTTTCTTTCATTTTGGTTTCAACTTCACTCAACCAGAACTCCACATTTCCAAGAGGTTTCATTGTGGTTGAAAAAGGAACCTGCACTTGGTATAAATATATAAAACGTCAAAATAATAGAAATCTCACTAATAGAAATACAACTACAATGTCTTCTGGAATATACTTTTTGACATTAAAAATTATGTGATATGTATTAAAAAAAAAAATCCACATCGATACTATTTAAAAAGCTATGATAGCATATTCATGTATTTTAAAGTGGAACATACCAATACAGTTTAATTAGACCATTCTGACAAGATATTATTCCATTTGTAACAACTGTAAAGTTATTTCACACACTTTATAACGGTAAAATATTATGTCTATATATATATATATATATATAATTTAATATTTCTCTATCAAATTTCATTCAACCTTCATGAAATGTTAAAAATGTTTCAATAGTAAAAAGAAAAAGAAAAACAAAGAAACAAACAAACAACAACAACAACAACAACAAAGGGGCATGATGCACACTTTTTCGCCTTCATCCGAATTCATTGCCGTGATTGTTAAATCATCTTCAAAGTCTAATCGATCAATGGCTTCAAAGCATTTTCTGAGATGGGGCTGCACGGCCAATGGGTTCTTGGCTTGAGACAAGATTTGGAGCAATTCATCATTTGAGAGGAAAAAGAATCGGCTAAATGCCAAACGCTTGGTTTCCAAATAATCTGAAAGACCTTTTTGAATCAAATCAAACAGCTGCACATATCAACATTTTCATGGGAAGTATTAATTAGCCATGTGAAATTTATTGTGACTAACCACAATTTAATTGTGCTGGGATTTCAAGGATCAAAATGAAAGAGTTCATGCAGTATTTAATTTTTAATTTTATTGTTATGTTGTGGTGTCATGTATGTATTGAAGTTGCAAATAGCACACAAAATCATACTCTGTTTGCTTCCTCTAATTGCTCATGTAGCCGTTTATTAGAGCACATGGTAATAATCTGGGGAGACGTTAAAGCGGTCGCCAAAGTCTTTCTGTAGGTTGTGTTCACTAAATCAAATCTTTTACTTTCAATTGGCAATTGTGTCTTAATATCCTCACTACTGAAAATGGGTTCTAAGTACATCCATTGTCTTTGAACTTTGATCCATTCCTCAATAACATTTGACACCAAAATCAAGCATGCTTTCCATTCATTGATAGCATCCGCAAATGGTGCTTTGAATGGAGAAAAACTCATGGATTGCGTCAAAACAATATGATCGTCTAGTTGTTGAAGGATAGAGTCTTCAATTTTCATGATATATGTCCCCGTGTTCTTATAGAGAGTGACCTACATAAATTATTTTATTTGCAATTTAGGTATGAGTATTAATGTCCTTTTTCATAAAGCTTTTTGTGCATTTTATAAGCCATTTTATTTTTGTTTGAGTTGAGAAGAATAGATTAATGCACTTACTTCTGTGAAGTTAAAAATGAAAGACTCACATGCAACTGAAGTTGAGTCCATTCCTCTTTCATCTTTTTTAAAGCCATTTCTATAGCAAATTCTTTACTTGCCAACTCAGACACCTCTTGAATTTTTTCAATGTGCAAAAGCAACCCCATTTCAATTGCCTTATTTAAAGTGAAATCAGGTCCCGGATACACAGACAAATTAAGTGCTGTAGAAATATGCTTCCAATGACGATCTTGCATGCCTTCTTGCCGTAAAGCATGAATCAATGGTAAAAATGGTTTGAACTCACCCACCTTAAAATTCAACAACACTTTACATTCTTAATTAAAACTTCCAAATTACCTTAATCAGTTTTTATTAAGGTGTAACCATCATATATGATTGAGATACAATTTGGTTTAATGTTTGTAATCTTATTTTGAGAAGTAATGAGCATAAATGTTTTACATTCAAAGTTTTAAAGAACTATAAATCATTTTTATGAAACCTAATAGATGGTCAGAATGTTTTTTTTTTTTTTTTTCTTCTAAAAACGTCATTGGAAAAAAATTAAAAATTAAAAATAATTCAAATCTAAGTTTAAAAAAGCTTAAGAAGAAAAAGAAGAAGAAAGTAATTTTGCTTTTATGTGCACCTGAGTCCGAATGAGCTCACAAGATGATGCTTGGCTTGCAATTCCGCGTTTTTTAAACTCACGAAGGGTCTTGAAAAGACCATTAAACCAACCATTCACATTTTCGTCCATCGTATTGGCGATCAAAGTGTCAAAAGGATCATTCATCCAACTTTTGAAAGATAATTTCCACAAATCAGCCGTGTCCCACAAGTAAAATAATGGTGCAAATTGGTCCATAACAAGCTTCAATTGGGTGTAATCTGTTGTGGCAGTTCCAAACAATAACTCGCGTGAATTGAAGAGTCGGGTCAATTCTTGAGCCTTTTTAAGTCTTGTGTTTAGGTTCCGGGCATCGTTTGCAATCTTCTCCACCTAAACCACATAAAATATTTCAGATTCATGGATTTCTTTTGTCAATGTTTTGCAGATTTTTTTTTTTTTTTTTTTTTTTTTTTTTTTCCCTCTGCTACTACATTGATTTGAAATACAGATATTCTAAAAAGAAAATGTTGACACTATAGGAAATTTTTAACACAAACCATTAGAAGTATCACTTCTATAATATTTCACCAAACAATGGGGTTTGTGTATAAAAGGTTGATTTTCAATACCAAAATTGATTCTTTTGAATATAAATATATATATATATATATATATCAGTGAAAAAATGAAATAAACATAGATTAGATGAAACTTATAAACCTGATCAAGGTCAACAAATGACACGAAATTGCAAACAGCATTGTCCAAGGTTTCCAGTTGATTTCCAAAGAGAGCTTGTTCTCCTTCCATTTCTTTTTGGTAACGTTCATTATCAGTTGCTAAAACTTTCAATGTCCTGTCCATTTGCCTCTCAATCTTTTGGGGCCATGAGAAAATATTCCATTTTTGAGAAAAGTCGTTATCATTTAAAGAATATTGCAATCCTTCAAGAGCTTGATAGTAAACCTGAAAACACAAAATAAATAAATAAATAATATATATATATATATATATCTATAAAAGTCAGGTTTTCTATATTCAAATACTGGACATAAAATTACAGTCCCAGAGAAGATGGTATCAAATTATTTTATAATGTATCAAGCTTATAAATTTTCCCAATTGTTTTATAATGTATCAAGCTTATAATTGATTTTTTAAAACTAAATCGTGCCCAAGTACACAAACTCCCCTTAGAATAATAAATTACATAAAACATTGAGAATATATAAGCTTTTTCCGCTCTCTCTTTTCTCTCCATATAAATAATATAAATAGTTGAAAGTTTTACCTCCAGTGCTTCAATTTCACGAATCAATTCATTGGTTTTTACAGGCATTGTCACCATTGCTTGTTTTATAGCATCCACCTCCTCTGGAGTATTGGTTTTTGTTTTGAGTTGTGCCTCAAAACCTTCAAACTTGTGTCCAATTTTGAGCTCCAACTCTTTCGGGATTTTACAAATCATTAAAACCACTAGAATTTCACAAAAAAAAAAAAAAAAAAAAAAAAAAAATCTTGAAAATTAATCCCAAACTCCATCACACATAATAATAATAATAATAATAATAATAATGTAAAATATACGTTTTCAAAATTTATAAATATATAGAAACATTTTTCCTTGCATCAAATGGAATTTCAAATTTATCAATGATTGTGTAATAGAGGCAAAACCCATATCAATGATTTGTTGTTTTTTGGTCATAAGAAATGTTCGTACTTTCTTGCTGTTGATGCTAAAACAACCAAAATTAATGGTTTGTGGAATACTGCAATTGTGGGACATCAAATCCATTTTTTAAAATTAATTAGTTAATATTTTTCTTCTACATGTTCATTTCAAAAAAAATTAAAAACTTAATATGCATATTCATTATTCAGTGAGTATTCCAATAAAATTCAAGCTTGAAATAGGATTAAGATCAAACCATCTATCAATTTCATCCAAATCTTTC